GCACGTAGAAGTGTCTTATGCAGCTTGGCTGATCTGAATGTAGGGGAGTTGTTCGAGCTCGGGGAAGCTGATTTGAAGAGCCCAGCTTTTGTCTTTCAGTTGCTTTTTCTGCTACCATTAGGCTTCCCAAGCCCACGTGCAGTTGGGAGGTTTCCTCGGTACAAAATGAGCGCGTTCATTCACCGTGTCTTAACACCTTAAACTTTGGGTTTCCAGTATCCCTATGTGCACTTACCTGTGTGTTTTGGAGCAATTGCACTCAGGCTATAAAGAAGCAATAGCTTCTCAAGAACTGTTGAGCAGAAGAGGCAAGTGATGATAAGTGTGTGTGAAATCATGGTGGTTGCAGCTTTACGATCAGATACCTGCTGTGGGCGTATGTCTATATACCCGGTGTATTGCTGTCGTGCTGCTGGTAATGCCAGGAGCAGGAGCCCGGGTTTGGGAGGGTTGAACAAGAATCTCCTGGCCAGGCAGGTGCAGGCAGCACCCCGGGAGTTCACAGTCCAGCCCAGTTGCCAGCGGGTGACCTGGTTTTATGCTGCCGTGCTCAGTGGTATTTGACGGGAGTGCTTGCTTTGTTCTTTTCAGGACAAGCTTTACCAAGAGGAGTATCAGTTTGTCTCAACAGAGGAGCAAAGAGAAGAAATTTCCAGAAAGCTGAGCGAGGCTTCCAGCTGGATGGAGGAGGAGGGCTATGCAGCTGCAACTAAGGTATTGCTGCACGTAGTCGGGATGCCGGTCTGCTGTCAGTGACAGAAGTGACTGCACAGGCTGACAGAGTATTCATCCATCTTGATCCTTTGTCATCTGGTTCTTGGAAGCTTCTTGCTCAGTGCGTTATGCACAGAGCAAAATAGGGAGTTCTTCCAGCCACGGATGCATCTCTAACAGCTTCAGCAGTAACCTGATTCTACATAAAGCTTAGTCATCTGGCTTTTTTTTACTGTATTGAATAGATACTGATAGAATGTCAAAAATTGCGGTTTTAACTTCTGAGGTTTACGATGTTGGACAGTGGGCAAACTAATCGTCTCCTTTCCCCTTTTCCCCATTTGCAGGAGCTGAAAGACAAGCTTTCGGAGCTGAAAAAGCTTTGTAGGAACCTCTTCTTCCGTGTTGAGGAAAGAAGAAAGTGGCCAGAACGCCTGGCTGCCCTGGAAAGTCTGCTCAACCACTCCACCATCTTTCTCAAGTAAGAGCAAGCTGTTGGGAAGGAGAGTCGTGCAGACGATAATGTAAGAGATGCCAACAGAACATGAGCAGATCGCGTGTGGTCTGGAAGTCGCTAGTGCTTCTTGAGAAAAGACGACCAAAACCCTGCTTACTGGTGCTCAGTTCTGCAGAGCCCGATAACGGCGGCATACAAGCTCTGTTTGAACTGGGGGACAGGAACTGTCTGATGCTGCACGCACCATTTGCAAGCAGATTTTTCCCTCGTGGTCCTATTGGGCTCATTTTTTTTTTTTCTATCTTCTTCCCTGTTTTTTCTAATCTCGTGATAGCTGCATTTGCTGGCTCTGTATTCCTTTCGTAGCATCCAGAGATTGATTTAGGGCTCTGTTTCCTGCAGATGCAAGAGACGTAACTGTAAAATGTACTAATTGGTTGGTATGCACAGTGGCTAGTTATTATTATGATTACTGGAACTGTAAACACTGAGTTGCTAAGGTACAGTCTAGTTGGTTTAAGGGAAATAAACTTTCTCCTTATCTTTAAGGGGAGCCCGAATGATTCCAGAGTCTGACCAGATATTCACAGAAGTGGAACTGAGTACACTGGAAAAAGCCATCAACGAAACAACGGTAATAAAGGATCAAATGATCCTGGAAGAGGGTGGGGGTGGCGGTTTGGGTTGTGTTTCCTCTCCAAAGTAATAGGTCGTGTAATTTCACGAGTGTGCATGTCTTGTTTCTCTGTCACCTGCCAACCTCTGCGGTATTTCAGTGCTTTCTAATGCCCAGCTTGACCCCAGACTGCTTGGGCGGGATAATGGTTCTTGTGTTGCATGTGGACAGTTGTCTCCAGGAGTGGTGGTGTAGCCCAGTAATCTGACTGCAGTTTTTAAAAGCAGGCACCGGGTTTGGAGGGTTCTGTTTCTTCGTTTTGTCCTATGTCTGGGTAATTAAGAAGCTTGTGGAAATGTAGCAGGGAGCAGCGTTGTTCTGAGTAAGCTAGAAGGCCCAGGAGCGGTGACTTGGAGATACTGTGAAGTACAGTGGTTCCTGGAACCAAAAAGCAGCCGAAAAGCACTTCTTCCCTCCCATCCCACAGACGTGGAAAAACGAGACAGTGGCTGAGCAGAACAAGCTTTCTCCTACTGAGAAACCCGTCCTGCTGTCCAAAGACATAGAGCTCAAGATAGCAGCCCTGGACAGGGAAGTGCAGTATCTTCTGAATAAGGCCAAGTTTGCAAAACCCAAACCCAAAAAGGAGAAGAACACCACAAAACCAGAATCAGGCAAGAATGCTACAGCAACCTCTGAGACCGAGAATACTATCCCTCCCACGGAGGGGAAACAAGACGGTAAGGAGCGTGTGGGGAGCGTGCATGTAACTCCTGGTATAGAATTACCACCTGTATCTCTCTGCCTTGAGTGAAAGGGAGCTTAATGAGTGAAGACAATAGTTAACTGTAGGATCAAGCGATCCTCCTCCTAGTTTTCAAAGACAGCTGGGAAAATCTAGGTATGGCGTGTCCTTTTCCCCCAACCGTTTGTTTGTTTTTTTCTGTGAAGGAACGGGAGGTATTTATAAACTTCCTGGGGTGGTTAGTCAGTATCTGTCTGGCCGGCGGCTGCCTCAGAAGACAGATAAGCCATCAGTTCCGTTCTGGGTGTCCAGAGCAAGTATTCAAGGTCATGTCCTGTATCAAGGAACAGGACGAGCTGTTGGTGAGAAAGGTTTGTGGCTTAGACGGCCCCAGGAAAAAAAAAAATCTCTTGGGACACCCAGACTTGCAGTTTTCTGAACTTTTTTAAGATCCTCAGGCTCTGCGTGCCATGGTCCTTTTAAATCTCAACTGCTGGTTGTCAGCAGAGTTCCCTGCTGGTTCCTGTGGCCTGAGGAAGAGCTCCTGCTTATAGTCACAGCTCCGCAGGTGACTTGCCTGTGCAACCCGTGAATCTCCAGGGCTTCTAGGGACATCAAGCCTGGCACACAGAGGCAGTGAGGAATACGAAGCAGTTCTGTGGTGCATCTCTGGGTGTTGCAGAGAGCCACAGTGAGAGCGAATTCCCCCAGTCCTGCTGCGGCACCACAGCTGGCTTGTTTGCAAACCTCACCTCTAGTCAACTGCGCCTGATCTCCTGTGCATTCTCCTTTAACCTTTGTGCTGTTTCTTTCTGCTTTGGACGTAGACAAACCTGAGGACATCGGTCCAGCCAAGGAGCCTCCTACAGCTGAGAAGGTAGCAACAGGTGATGAGCCTGGATCAGACTCGGGTGAGTACAAGTTTGTCTAACGATCTGGAACTTGGTAGCTCCAAGTGCAACTGTCCGTGTGCCTCTTTCCATCTCTTTAGCTGAAGGAGGTGGTAAGATGGTAGAACACCTGATTGCAAAGCAATTGTTAATTCTGCAAAGAGGAAGGCACAACTTTTGGTTCCTCGCTGTTCCCATACTTTCACTGTTCTTCCCACGCTTTCACTGTTCCGTGTGAAGTTGTAACATACCTCTGCCTCATCCACTGCTTTGTGCCTCGGTTGCTGCGGGTTATAGCCAGTCCTGTAGCTGTAAGCCTGGCTGCCTTAAGAGGCTGATGTGCAGGATGTGTTTATTCTGCCAGCCCCATCGTGAGGACAGTAACGTCTTCAGCTCTTGGGAGTCAAGTACCAGTCCTCAAAGCGTTCCTATGACCTTCCCACCATAGACGGGGAGTTTGGTGGAAAACTGAACGAACGTCAGGGGCTGTCAGTGCTGCTTCGTGTGCTGTAAAAACTGTTAGTGTGTAATTGAGTTTACTTCATTACACAGGGTCCAAAAAAGAGAAGACAACAGAAGCTGGAGAAGAAAGCAGGAAAAACGATGAGTTATAACACCCCTGAAATCCCACTAGTGTCAACATCTATTTATTTCATGGTTACGTTCTTGTTTTTAAAATGGACCTGGTTAGTCATGGTGTAAATGGAACACAACCACCAGTCTGGCAACACGATGGGATAGAGATGTAAATTTTATTTTTTCTTTCTGGGGATTTTGCCGCTACTAACTTAGTGAATTGGGTTTTGTTTTTCTTATGTGTTTGAAGGTGAGGCAGTGAGCCCACCGAGGATCCGTCTCAGTTTCAGTACGGGAGTCACCACAGTGACTTTTTCAGTAAAGAAACATCTTAAGCTTTAGGAAGTAATTCGGAACATAAACTCCGTGCCATCCCTCCTCGGGTGGGGATAATGCAGGAGCATCAATGAGGTGGTGGTGTCTCTGCTGCCGCGGCCCTGGCGTGGTTCTGGCGGCGTGCTGCCCTTCGGGACGGAGGGCAGGCAGGTCAGACAGTCTCCATTTTCTACGGACTGTTGTTTAACGCCCTCTCTCTCTGCGAGAGTCTGGAAACCTGCGCTGAGACGCGACGGAAAGATTGCGTTTATCGTTCCCGAGGAGAGAAAAGCTCCACCGTGGCCACGCCGGGGGCCGAGCGGAGCCTCGGTGAGGGCCAGCTCCGGGCAGCCATGACTCTCCCCCTTCCTCCTCCATTGTGCCCCTCCCGCCGCACGCCAGCGGCCGCCTGTCAACGCGCATCTGACGCTCGTGTCCATTTGGGCTTCTTCAACCCAAAATAAAAAGTTACACGTCCCGATGGTTTCGCTTCTTCCGGAAGGTACGGGAAGGGGCGGGGCGGGACTTCCGCCCGGGGCGGTTAGGGACGGGGCGGCGGCAGGAGCCGGTAGCACCGGCCGGTCCCTCCGCCCGTCCCGTCCCCGCTGTCGCCGCCCGCCCGCCGGGCTCGGGGGGCTGGGCATCAGCCGCCTCGCCCGTCCCGTCGCCGGCTGGCCGCGGAGGAGCGCGGCGGGATGGCGGCCGGCGGGTACGGCCGGTACCGGGCCGTGATCTTTGCGGCCATGTTCGTCGGGTACACGCTCTACTACTTCAACCGCAAAACCTTCTCCTTCGTCATGCCCGCCGTCATGGCTGAGGTGCCGCTGGGGAAGGACGAGCTGGGTGAGTGCCCCCCCCGGGCCCCCGGTGCTGGCGCTAACGGGCGGGCCGGTGGCCGTCCCCCCCGGCTGAGGCGTCCCTCGGGCTCTGCCCCACCGCAGGTCTCATCACCAGCAGCCAGTCCGCGGCCTATGCCATCAGTAAGTTCATCAGTGGTGTCCTCTCCGACCAGATGAGCGCCCGCTGGCTCTTCTCCTCTGGCCTGCTGATGGTGGGCTTGGTCAACGTGGTCTTCTCCTGGAGCTCCACCGTCACGGCCTTCGCTGGGCTCTGGTTCCTCAACGGGCTGGCCCAGGGGCTGGGCTGGCCACCCTGCGGGAAGATACTGCGGAAAGTAAGTGTTTGCTGGGAAAGGCGAGAGGGAAACGTCTCACGGCTCTTCTTCTGAGCTCTCCCGGCAGCAGGTCTGCGCAGACCATGGTGCAGGAACGCTCGCTCCAAAGTCAGAGGAATTTGCACCCATTCCTGCCTCCCCTGAGGTTGAAACCACCAGCAGTCCTTGCTTCTGCCTGCAGAGCAAGTGTCCCTGCACAAGGTTCTGTTTGTTCTAGCCAAGATTCAAAAAGTTTGTTAGCCCTTGTGTTTATGGGCCTGGAGTCTAGCTCAGTTTGACAAGTTACGTCTCCTAGTTTAGCAGACCTTCTCCACTGTAAGAGACATCATTTGTCAGAACCCAATACTTCAAGCGTGCAGACAGAGGTCTGCTCATCTCATCACTGCGGCGGCGGTTTGCTGCTGGGCAAGGGGCAATGAGCAGAAGTCCATCTGCACGCTCAGGGAACTCCAGAACTGCAAATTGCAGGCCGTTCAGGTAGAAAACCGGGTGATATATGGAGTAACAGCGTGAGTCGAGCCTCTAAGCTGTCTGTATTTGGTCTTTGGGGCAATCTAAATGGAACAGATTGATTTCTGCCTTAGGGCGGAGAGAAGGGAGGTCAGCTGCCTGCTAACCTCTCATGAAAGATATAAAACCCAGGAATGCAGGTACCTGCGGGATGAGGGCAGATGAACAAATGCATTGCCCTTCAGTGAGGCATCTAGCCTCGTTTAGCTGGTGAGAAAAGGACTGCCTGAGACGGCTGCGTGCACAGAAAGGCAGTTCCCGAATAACAGACACAATACACGTAGTGTTTTCTGAAGACATTTGTGAATGTAGCGCTGGGACGTTTTCCTGCTGGCAGGCACCACCCAAGGGGTTCTGGCTCTGGGTGCACGGTGCAATGCAGAGCCCATCGTGCCTGATACTTAAGGCAACAGTGAGTCCTAAAGTTACCCTGTGACTCTCTGCCTATCCGTTCATGCTCCTGTGCCAGCAGACCTTTCCAGGAGGACACTGTTCCTAGCAAGTGAGTACGCAGAACCGCGCGCTCTTAAATTTGCCTCTCCTGGCCCACGTCTCAGTTTCATCGTCTGTAAATGGAAATAACTCTGAGCTGGCTCGCAGTGCGAGCACCTGTCCGGCTCCTGCAGCTGACACTTGAGTAACGTTTGGAGTTCCCCACACGACTAAGGTAGCAGAGTGTGGACACTCCCTTTGCCTGCTTTTGTAGATCTGGGTCAGAATTGCCCCGAACCCACAGCGTGGGCCTTGACTGAGGAATTTCAGGTGTAGCGTCACATTCTCTCTCAGACCTCATGCCGTTTTTCTTGTTGTTGCACAGTGGTTTGAGCCTTCCCAGTTCGGGACTTGGTGGGCAATCCTGTCTACAAGCATGAACTTGGCTGGAGGCTTAGGTCCCATTGTGGCTGCTCTGGTGTCTCTGAACTACGATTGGCGCATGACTTTGTCCTTCTCTGGCTTCATCTGTGTGGTTGTCTCTTTTGTTTGCCTCGTCCTGATTAAAAACGAGCCGTCGGATGTTGGGCTACCCAACATTGAACAAGGAGCCAAGAAAGGGAAGAAAGGTGAGCACGAGACTTCACTGTAAGCGGGCAGCTGCAGCAGAAGATGCGCCGCCTTCTGTCTGTGTTCCAGCGTAAATGTGTCGCTCTCAGTGTACTGAGGCCTCCATCCTTCCCACTTCCCAAAACCGCCATTCGGCAGGATAGCTGTTAAGGGGTTGTTTTTGGTAGCTTTACTCTAGTAACTGTCGAGCTGCTGTGTTGAATTTATAAATCCTATAAACCAAGCCCCAGTGGGACCATTTGGGAAGGGTCTGGTGTATGGGCTTCTGAGACCGTCACAGCAGAGTGCAGCAGCAGAGCAGAGGAAGAGCCTGACCCCCAATTAGTTCTGTTCGTTGGCCTGCCAGTGACCGTGTGCACGTCGCTGAGATGCTCATGGCTGGCTGTTTCATCTCCCTGTTTGTGTAACGTCTTCCTGCTAATAGTGCCCTCCTTTTCTTGGGGCTTTATTTGCTTGGACTGTGAGCCGAGTCTCGTGGTGGGTACTGGAGAGAGAGAAAAAACACACCAGCAGGTAATGCTTCCTGAAGCCTGACCTTCCTCTCCTTCACGTTAGCAGGGGACAGGCAGTTCTCCCCTCACCCCGCCATGGGTTCTCTTGACCCCTGGCTTGCGGTGGACTCTGCTCAGTGTTTTCTGTCCTAACCTAGGACGTCTAGTTAGTAAATGTTTATTCAGACTGCTGAGTATGGTGCTCCTCTGAAAGCAGAACAGGTAGAGGGGAATTGCAACAGAGGTTTGCTATAGGATTTTAAAGGCCAGTGAAGCTCAGCCTACCTTCCACACTGTCCTGCGATGCCTGTGCTGCTACAGTGGACCTCCGTGTGTACAAAAAACAATCTTGCTTCCCCAGAGTATTCTGTGGGGATGGGAGGTTTGTAGGCGTTCTTGGATGGGTGATGCAAAAATGAAGGTAGCGCCTGAAAGTCAGCATCTTTGTTTGGGTCTACGTAGTGGCTTTCGCAGGCAGAGCTTAAAAGCATTAGCGCGAAATCTGGAGACGATGATCCTTTTTTGGAGAGCCTTTGCGAGGGTTTATTGGCAACCGCAATACAGAAAATTACTGGGAGTAGTGTTTTGATTGTTCTGTTGAAATCTGTAATGAATGTGGAACAAATTGACAGAAAAGATTCTGAAATCACAGCAAACCCAGAACAAGGGGGAGGTAAAGCCATTCACTACCGGCAGCTATGAATATCTCCCTCTGTAAGGATGTCCTTGTGCATGAATCCTGCCTGCAGATGTGTCTGTAGTGCCGCTGAGGCGGCGTGGTT